AACATCTGAAAAGTCGCTGAAATTACAATGATACCCAAACCTGGAAAACCACCAAATGAAATAAAGTCCTATAGACCTATATCTCTGTTACCAGTGTTATCTAAACTTTTCGAAAAACTAAAAAGATTGAAACCACTGATAGACAGTAAAAATATAATACCTGACAACCAATTTGGATTTAGGAACAAGCATTCCATCATTGACCAAGTCCACAGAATAATTAATGAAACAGAGAAAACACTGGAAGAAAAGAAGATCTGCACCTCATTATTTTTAGATGTAGCTCAGGTTTTCGATTAACTTAAAAATTAAATAAACTTCTACCTAGGCAATATTGTATTGTATCTTAAAATCTTATTTAACTGATAGAATCTTCCGAGTAAAACAAGAAGAAGAATATTACAAGCTTAATGAAACTAAAGCAGAAGTACCTCAACGAAGTGTTCGGGGGCCAATTCTGTATCTATTGTTTACCTCCCACATACCACGGCCATGCTTGCCATCGTAAAACCATAGAAGAATCGACCAGAAAACTTCAACATGCAACTAATTAAATCTATGAGAGGACAAAAAGATGGCGCATTAAGCTCAACGAAACTAAAACGGTTCAGGTTACCTTCACTAATAAAAGACCAGTAGAATACCTACCAGTCACAATAAATAATACTAGAATAATTCGGCGAAATACCAGAGCTGGGGAGGATTCGAATCACATATGATTCGAATCCAGGATTCGAATCCTTTTTGAGGATCCGAGAGCGGGATTCAAATACTTTAGAAAAAAAGGATCCGTGATCCGGATTCGCAAAGAAAATCTTAAAGGATTCGTATTCGAATCATCAATATCAGTCTCGGATCCTTTTAGAGACCAAAGTACGCCGGCGCGAACGGCCGTCTCAAGCTTTGACTTGTCGCGAATTGTAAACTAAAAACTAAAACAGACTGAGACTGAATAGAGAAAACCGATGTATTTGGCGTTGTGCACGATTACAGAATTAACAAATAATATGATATAGATCCTCAATACAGGTAAGTGAAAAAAAATTCTGCATCCACATCCCCATGTAGGTATATTATTTATTTTTTATTTATTTTTCTAATTTTTGCACGATATACAAAATAAATATGTGGGCGATATTAGTCTATTAAACGAATATAATATATAATTATATCCATTCTATGTTTTCTATCAATTAAAATTCATTACTTAATGTCAAGTTGACTATTTTTTTTATTATTTAAAATGAGTTTTAGTTATTTATATAAAATATTGTTAGAGTCAGCGAATTAGGATATCGCCGCCACTGGGGTCGAGGGCACCACGTCTGGCCGTTGGAGTGTCTGTTAGAGTCAACGAATTAGGATATCGCCGCCCCTGGGATCGACAATACCACGTCTACCTGTTTCAGTGTCCAGGACCAGGACCAGGAGAGCAGGGACTTGACTTTCGACCAGCCGAACGCGATGAAGTGATAGGCCTTATGCCCTTTAAAGACATTCTTTATTTTGTTCCTTAATTAATTACATTTCAACCATTGTTTACGAGATTATTAATAAAACGTTATAAAACCATGTTAAAACGTGTTTTATGAAGTGGCTATACAGGGTGTTATAGTATACAGGGTGCTAAATCATTTAAAAATAATAATTTTGAAGTTAATTCTTTTAACTTCTAACAACATAATTAAAAATTAGTGATTCTTGTGAAAAATCTATAAATAACGGCAATCAACTAGAGTTTTTATATTTACAAGGAAACTTAAGTAAAAGTTTAAACAATTTTTATACTTATACGAGTATGTAGTCAGTAGAACGCGTCACTTAGGTAATCGCCTATATGCTAAATGTGACACCCAGCTTCGTTTTTCAGCTTCAAGTTTTAAATGTTTTTATTTATTTACAGGTCAAAACTCATTTTACAGAATACCAAGATATAAAACAGTATTAGATTCGAAAGTAAATATAATTAATACCACAGTATAACACTTTTTTTTTGAAAAAGGATTCGAACATTGGATCCGTGATTCAAATCACATCTCGTTATTCGGATTCGTGATTCGAATCCATTTTTCGAGGATTCGTCCCAGCTCTGCGAAATACTTAGGCATGAACCTAGATATTAAACTAAAGTGGAAAGAACACATAAAGAAAAAACGAGAAGAGTTGGGTATTAAATATAGAAAATTATACTGATTGATGAATAGAAAATCATACAGCTCTGGGGTGTGCCAGTAAAACTGACATAAATATAATACAACGTTTCCAGTATGGTATATTATAGGAACTCAGACCTACACAGATATTTGAGAATGCCTATAGTCTAAGAAGAAAGGAAAACCATCGCAAAAAACATGACAACCGATACCTAATGAGAAAGCTCAGAAGAACCAAACCATTTGAATTAGTGATGTGAAAGTGTGTTAAAGCAGAGCATAGTGCGCGTGGGCAGTGTATAGTTATCAGAACAGAAAGGAGAAGATACCATTGGGTAACTCTTAGATTTAAGCCTCTTAAGTTTATAATAGAGAAAAATTACTGGTTGGCTGAAATATAGCTAGGTGCAATGCAAAAAAACATAAGAACATGATATTATACAATTTAGACGGTAATCTATAAATCCAACAAAATCTCTGATTTCATTATGGTCCACATATATTAGAAACAGCGACATTAGTGATATACAAAGTATTACCTATTCTGTAACAGAGTGGAAGAAACGTCTAACCCGACAATCTGCACTGCTCTAAATACGTCTCAGTAAATGTTTATTTTAAAACGGGGATAAATCGGTCGAGCCACTGCCGTGAATTTCCGAATGAATTCCGTCCATTTCCGAAACATTTCCGATATTGCCGAAACATTTAAAAAATTACCTAAGATATTTCTTAAAATTTTCAAAAAGTTTGTACACCTATTGCTGAATTGGAAAGCCACTCGGTTTAACGACTAATCTCAGATTTATCGTTTTTTCGATAATATTGGGGTTTTAATGCAAACACCGGACATTGTTTAATTTTGGATTAAGCAAAAGTACAAAGAACAAAACAGAAATCACAATCTTCAAATATCAAATTTTATAGAAAACTCGTTTTCAAGAAAGACAGTTAGCCTTTTCGAGTTTTTTCAAAATTCCATAGAATATTATTCCTTCTTTGTATCATGGTATTAGATCATTTTGCTTTTTGTTACCGATAAATACATGTAGCTAGTTCCAGTGGTCTATCTTAGAGGAGTTTATAAAGCTTTTTATCCAGCTACAATTCTAAATCTCTAGTATCTACGGTTTCCATAGTTTATAGAGCTATGTTCACCTATTAGAGGAGTAAATAATTTCCATTTTTGTCAATTTGCTGCCACTTAATATCTAGCACATTTCTGACCTCTGCCGGAGGATTTCTGTATGTGGTTAAAAAAAAAGATAGATTCTTCGTGATATCTGTTTAAGGTATATATTTATTTCAAGTACCATCATTGCCAAGTATATGGTCGAATTTTGTAAAAAACTTACCTTTTAACCCAAGATAACTGCAGGTTTGGTTAATGTAAAAAAAATTACGCAATATTTTAAAAAATTGTCCTTTTCTCTTTAGAATAAGTTACCCACTTGTATTTATTTATAATAATAATAATATTACTCTCCATAATTTACCCCCTTACGAGTGAATTTTAACTCCAAAAGCTGAGCTTTTTCGGGGAAGGGACAGCTATTATTATTATTTGCCATGGCGCTTCGGCGCGACTTAAAGATGATTTATGGTGCCCTTTGACTTGCAGATGAGGAAAACCCGAAAAACTCGGAAACTCCCACCCATATATTATGACCTGACAAAACTTTCCTCATAATCTTAACTATATAAAGTGAAAAGCTAGAAATGCTGCCAACAAACTAGTTTTGTTGCCCCTAGATCTTGGTGGAGGGTCCTAACTTAGGAATTGTAGCTTATGGATAATTGTAATTATTCACGTTACAATTGTGTTAGCACAACTAGCCTGTCCATGATCATTTTTATATTAGAGTTAGGTTAGAGAGTGTTTACAAAAGTTTATATGTGATTGGTTGTAGAAATGCTTATTTAAAATGAATTTTACAAATACATGTAATAGTATTTTTTTTTTTTTAATTTAGATCTATTGCCGTATTTTCTTTTTTGTATTTTTTCAGTTCGACATTGTCCACTGGAATAATGTTTCCATTTTACTTTTTCAAATATGCGCCTTAATGTATGTATTGAACGCGTACGCACTCATTTTAGTCCTTGCGTCAATTTTACTTTAGACTATGATCAACAGTTTATATACTTTGACTTACTAAATTGGAAACAATAAAATTCAATTTTGGAAACATGAAAATTAATAATCCCCAATTCTTCCTAAGAAATTATGAAAAATTTACCCCTATATCCCCAAAGTGAAAACGAACCAAAGAAAAATTGAAAAAGCAGAGAATTAAAGAAAGAAAAAAAAGTTCTTCGACCGGGGATCGAACCTGGAACCTTCGAACTATATCCGCTCATACTCTTACCAATTGAGATATCAAAACACATGGCTTTACAAATTTTTATTTCACCTTCTCCCATTCCAGCTCTCTCAATTTTTCTTAAGGCTACCCTTGTCTCATTCTATAGAAGGACAATAATCTAATTACATGAGAATATATTTCTAAGATCCTTCATTCGTTCATCAGTAGTGTTAAATTTTCGAGTGAGGTCCGTCATAAACGTAAAACGAATTGAAAGAAAGTAAAGTGAGAAAAATCGGTTGAGAACCGAAAAACTGAAAAATACAAATTTGGAAATCAGAAAAATGGATAATCCCCTATTCGAAAATTATGATATGGGGGTATATTTTTTATAATTTCGTAGGGGGAATTGGGAATTATTCATTTTCATATTTCCAAAATTGCATTTTTCAGTTTTTCGGATCCCATCCGATTTTTCTCACTTCACTATCTTTCATCAGTAACATTGTTTACCGCGTTTACATATTTTCGGTAAATTTACCTGAATATATTTTTTTCCTTCGTTATTTTGCGCAACAACAACGAATTTCTTGTCAGTGATGAATCCTTTATCATCCACTAAAACCTCTTCGTAAAACTCCTGTTCCTCCAAATGTTCTTCAATCACTTTTCCTTGCATATCACTAGGTCCCCCCAACTGATCCACATGTTGGGGGACACACTGCGCTCCAACGGGCGATTGCCTGACATTTTTTGGACTCAAAACCCGTGGAGGATAGTTATTGGGGTATTCACTTTGCTGGCAAAAAGCTGGATTTGTGTAAAAATTCGTTTTTGTAGCCATTTGCAATTTTTATGATGTACATTTAAAAACTTTTCACTGACACTGTCACAAAAAACTATAGTTTAATTTTTTAATTTTTTTTTTAATTTTTATATATAAACAATATTTTGACGGTTAGTTACCGGCTTTTAAAGGACCGTTTGTAGAGAAAGGTAGATCAGCGACTGGTGGTTATGTTACACTAGAGCGTAACGGTAGCTTTAGGGGGACTCTCACAGCTGCATATGCCTCATGTCATGTGTGAGGATGGGGTAGATTACATAGGCGTGCTAGTTAGTTTTTGAATTTTATTAAAATATTTTTGTGCAACAATAATATCTTTTACGTAAAACATGTCTGTTGTCTGGAAATTAATTTTTCTACGGCTATAATACAAAATTATACTTTCTCAACTACCTATTGTTGATTTAGAAACAAAATACATACATTTCGTTATATGATGAACCAAAGTAGTTATTCCCTTATTATTTAAATAAAATCATGTGCGTCATGAATTGTCAAACATTAAATAATTATGTATAAGATTTTCGACATCTGCTAAAAAATGGTATTTGTAACTTTTTGGTTTTTAAAAGAATTTTTTCTCATTTTCCAATAAACATATAAGTAAAAGAAAAAACGGTATGGTGAGATTCCATTTTTCACTAGCTTTTCAAAGTTGGGTGGGGTTGTAGCTAAGGGATTGAAGAAAAAGCTTTCATTTTATTGGCAACACATACGTCCAATGTAAACCGGTTGAACAGATAATAATTTTATTCCGGATTTTCGCGCAACTCTATATGTGTAGTAGTAGCAATAAAGAAATGATAGCATTACAAATTGGCAAACTATGACACACAGTATTTCTACTAATAAAAATTAAATCGCATTTTGATATACAAATATAATCATCATAAATCGAGTACGTACTTACAACAGCAATAAAAGTTACTGGTATTTCCTGTTATTTTTTTTAGAATGCATTAATTAGTAATATTATTTCAGAATTAAAGTAGGCGTAGAATGCGATTTGGTTATTTCAAGAGAGCTGTGATTATAATGCACGAAAAATTTATTTCATTTCAAGATTCTTCCTAGAATATTGTAGGTAGTTATACCAAGTTTTCTCGCTACTTATTAAAATTATCCAGTGGCAGTATTAAATAAAACAAACAAATAGTAGTAAGTCATATTTTAACTATGGTAATACTTGACAAATTCACTGTTTTTCAGTAACTGATATTCCTAATTTTTTTTAATACTGTATGATTTAATAAGTAAGTAATAACAAACTATATACAAATGTAAGACGTTACATATGTTTCATGAAAAAAAAACATGAATTACTTAAGAATGGTAGAGAAATAATGAAAATATTAATTCTGCAATCTATAATTTTCACTTCTTCTAACCCTGTAGAGCTGCAAACTTGAGATCCATAAGAAAGTTGCGGTGAATGACCTGAAAAATAACATACTAAAATTTGAACAAATCTGACAGTACCCAAAATCAATATAAAAAGTGCGGCGTCCTTTATCTAATCCAAAAATGACAAACATTTTCTCTGTATATAGCAGGTCCATAGGTAATACTGCTGTTTGTTATGAAGCTGTGCAATTAAGGCAGGAGAACATTAATCCTGTAATGGCTACTATTTAACATATTTGTACTTCATGCCCTAAACAAGTTTTATTTCGATAGGTAACTACGTTTTCACATTATTTAAAAGTTCTTCAGACTTCATTTTTAGAATATTGCTGTTAAGTGAGTAAGGTTCGCTTATTTTCTTTCTTTACCGATAATCCCACCTGCAGGTTAGTTGGGAAGCAGTACCTGTGTCATGTTAGCTCCTAGCCAGTCAGCTCCAAAACCAGCCGGAGCTCATGCAAAGCGCCAACGGTCGAAAAATATTCTTTTTACGACAAAAATTATCCGTCCTAAATTTTAGTTTAAAGATTACTACACCTTCAGAATAATGTTAATTATTTTCATTAACCCTTATAGAATTATATTAAGGAATTAAAGGGATGCAATTTCAATATTTTTGGTGATGAATAATTTTTTTTTTTGATTTGATTAAGCCAATCGATAGATAATACAAAAACAAACAACTTTTCTTTATTTCATTTTGAATGGCTATATTATATGAAATAACGATTTTAGAGAGGGGTTGATATTTCATTATTTTCGGAGCTAAAAAAAATATTTTTTTTAATTTTATTACGCCAATCGATAGATAATACAAAAACAAACAACTTTTCTTTATTCCATTTTGAATGCTATACATGAAATAAGGATTTTAGAGACGGGTTGATATTTCATTCTTTTTGGAGCTGGAAAAATGTTGTTTTTTTCTTTAATTTTATTATGCCAATCGATAGATAATACAAATACAAACAACTTTTCTTTATTTCATTTTGAATGCTATATATGAAATAAGGATTTGTGAGAGGGGTTGATATTTCATTATTTTTGGAGCTGGAAAAAATTTTGTTCTTCTCTTTAATTTTATTACGCCAATCGATAGAATATACAAATACAAATAACTTTTTTATTCCATTTTGAATGCTATACATCGATTGGCGTATAAAAATTAAAAAGAAACAGAATTTTTTCTAGTTTTAAAAATATTGAAATATCAACCCCTCTCTAAAATCCTTATTTCATGTATAGCATTCAAAATAGAATTGAGAAAAGTTGTTTGTATTTGTATTATCTATCGATTGGCGTAATAAAATTAAAGAAAACACAAAATTTTTTCCAGCTCCAAAAATAATGAAATATCAACCCCTCTCTAAAATCCTTATTTCATAAATAGTATTCAAAATGGAATTAAGAAAAGTTGTTTGTATTTGTATTATCTCTCGATTGGTGTAATAAAATTACAGAAAAAACAAAATTTTTTCCAGCTCCAAAAATAATGAAATATCAACCCCTCTCTAAAATCCTTATTTCATACATAGCATTCAAAATGGAATTTAGAAAAGTTGTTTGTATTTGTATTATCTATCGATTGGCATAATAAAATTAAAGAAAACGCCAAATTTTTTCCAGCTCCAAAAATAATGAAATATCAACCCTCTCTAAAATTCTTATTTCATGTATAGCATTCAAAATGGAATAAAGAAAAGTTGTTTGTATTTGTATTATCTATCGACTGGCGTAATAAAAAAAAGGAAAAAGAAATTTTTTTCCAGCTCCAAAAATAATGAAATATCAACCCCCTTCTAAAATTCTTATTTCATGTATAGCATTCAAAATTGAATAAAGAAAAATTGTTTGTATATATAAGGGTTAATGAAAATAATTAACATTATTCTGAAGGTGTAGTAATCTTTAAACTAAAATTTACAACGAATAATTATTGTTGTAAAAGAACATTTTTCGACCGCTGGCGCTTTGAACTCCGGCTAGTTTTGGAGCTGGCTTGCTAGGAGCTAACATGACACAGGTGAAGCAGTTCTCCCTATACCAAAGAAGAATCTGAATTTCTCACTAGTGTCAAAAGTAACTGATGATTTATTATTATGACAGATCACTTTTAAAAACTTAGGTAAAGCGTGTTTGTGTCGAGTTTGGCGTAAAATATTAATTTGATAGTCTGGAGACTTGTATTAAGAAGAAATAAGTGGCTAAAAGTAGGTAGTTCACATAAAAAATGATTGATATACTTCTGCAATCATCTTAAATAATATAGTAGGTACGTGGGATTTTCGGGAATGCTCCATCGATCTAAAATATTTTGGATAGCCAGCCACTTTCGGTTATACCTGAAATGACGCCTAACTTCTTTATTGTAAATAGAACATCCTGTATATTTTTATATTTTTATAATCCCCGTGGCGAGCTGAGTTCAACGAAGTTTCACATTTGGTGTCTTTTATGTTCACGAGGTATTCAAGATTAATTTATCCAGGCTATATCTCATAAACATTATCTTATATTTTAAAAAGTGAACAGGTATTTTCTTGATTAATTATGAACATATATTGTTTTTAAAAAAAGCTTAAATAGGTGAACGACAACCACATCCAAAATTATGAAATTTTATGGCTATCAAAAAACCAAAATATTTTAAATCAATAAAGCGACCCTAAAAATCCCTCGTACCAAATTTTCACTCGATTATTTCTATTCACTTATGATATATAGCCTGGATGAACAGTCTGGGATACCCTGTAAAGTTTATTACTGCCAAATATTACTTACTTGTCTTAATAACAATACTTTTATGCTGTTTAACTTCATAATATAAAGTCAAGAATGCATTCTAAACAACAAAAAAACAAATTTAAATAATTGCTAAGGTAAATTATATTAAATTTCCCATATAAATCGTTAAATAATTCTTACCAATTTTATTATGTATGGCAGAATAACAAAAAATTTCAAAATAGCGAATGAAGTTTGGTGCGCCACTGACAAGCACGTACCAAAACGACTCTTCTTGTATTAAAGAATGGGCACAATAGTAATTATTCCCTGTCGGATATAGACAGGAAAGCAGGGGTCAATTACTATATGGTACAGGGTGTTCATTTAGAAAACAATTTTTGTGGGTAGTGTATAAAAAGAAAATGTAGTTAACAACAATTTGTTTATAATCTTAAATTTGTGGGAAAATGTTCCATTTTGGTTTGACATATTTAGAATAAATTGACTGAGATTTATATTTATATTCTAGTTCATACACTCACCGACTTAAAATTCGATCCATTCAAAATAATGATTTACTTAAAAAGGCTCTAACTTTCAAATGCGGAGGCTGATTTATTTGAAGTGTTTAGCAAATTTTAGATAAAATACTGTAGTTTTAAGATTATTAGTCGGACATCTAAAAGTAATTTAGTACTCGCCGGATATACAGGGGGGGGAAGAAAATAATTTTTTCCTCTACTTTTGATACACCCTGTAGGTTAATTCTGCTAGTAGATCTGCACACAATTAACTTTATCAAGAAGACTGATTTGTTTCCAACATTTTGTTGTTTTATTTACCCCGATATCTTAATTTGTTTGTGAAATGTGACGGTTTAAAGAAAATGCAACATTCCTAATTTTTTTTTTTCAGTTTTAGCAGAGTAGGTAATACATAATTTTATAAACAATTCAAACAACAAATTAACTAATAATTATTACAAATTATTAACGGGTATTTCCTTCACGAGCGCGAATAACT